TAGCTCAAATTAGGACCACAGCTTGATTGAGAGGTTGAATGAGGATATACTTCCCTTGGCATGAAAACCCAGCTGTTTCTCAGAGAGTTTTTTTAAAAAACTGAACCTAGTTATTTCATATAGGATTCTCTTCAGCAAAATGCTGACCTCTGGTGGACATTTCTTAAACTGTTTTTTGTTTTTTTGGTTTGGGGTTTTTTGTTGTTGTTGTTCTTTTTAAACCCCACATACTTGATGCAGCAGGAGACCCAGAGGCAAAACATTCTTTTGAAAGCTGAACGTCCCTCTCTTTAGGCTTCGTCAGGTTTGAGGATAAGAACCCCAAAACACATACTTCGCTATCTTTCCAAACTTTTCTGAGAGTTGGGTTTAATATCAAGCACGTTAAGACTTGCTGCTATGATTAGGGATCTCATAATTTTATGAAGAGAAAACACAACATTATTTGGTTTCCCTAAGATTTGCAAGAATTTTATACCAATTTAACATCTACTATTGTAGCATAATTTATGCCAAAAAAACAATGAAGCTCAAAATGTGTCTTAACCAGACTAAGAAAGTAGAAAACCTTCTTCTACCTTCAACTCAAGTTAAAATATAGTCAAAATATACCACTGACTTGGTAAAGAGCCTCTCACTGAAGGTAAGGACCATTTCCCTCCTTTGCATTTCCAGATGCCACCGGATGGGGCTCACTCTGAGGGAGCAGCTGGGAGGACTTGAACACAGGAGCCTTCTGGTCCAGGGGGTCTTGACCTGGGTGTGCCCAGACCACCCCCGAACCAGTCTCTGGGGTGGGGTCAGGCAACGCCATCAGTCTTTGTAAAGCTCCACAGGTGAGCTGAATGAGAACCACGGGCCTAGTCTCACCCCCTCCTTGTGTAAGTGAGAACACTGCGGCCCAGAGAGGGGTGTTTGGGCCGCTTGGCCAAGGTCACCCAGCTAGCTAGCAGGGAAATTCTGACTAGACTGTGAACGCCTGAAAGACTGGAGCCCTGTACTTTCAGTTTCGAAGTTTCAAATGAGCTCTTCCATGATCCTGTGGTCTGACAGCACAGTCAGGCCTCCAAGTGACAGAAAAGGCCACATTCCTCTCCGAAGCTTGCTCATCTTCCCTCCCTGAGCTTCGCTCTCCCAGCTGAGCCTCCCACCTCCCAGTCACCCTCATTGCCTCCTGTTCGCACAAAATTGTCACTTTCACCTGCTGCCCAGGCCCGCCTGTCCTGAGCCATCCCCCAGCCTTGTGTTAACTAAATGAGCCAAAGGTGGCCTCTGCATACCGGGCCCTAGGCGGTTGATTTGTTCACAGCAGACTGAGATGGGCTAGCTCCAAAGCCCACCTGAAGCCAAACTCAAATGTCTCCACAGCCAATAGCTTTAAACATCACCCAAATAAGCAGATTTTTAGCCATTTAGAGCCGGCCTACTTTGCAAACCCCACGAAATTGTTCCCAGCATCTGATAGCCGTGGATAAGCCCCAGGCCATAAGGGCCCCAAGCTGCCGCTGTGCTTTGGAGCTCTCTGACCCAGAAATTCCCCACTGTGCGGCTGAGTGACATCACCTAGACATATGAGTCCCCTCTCCCCCAAGTCCCCATGCCCCACCTCTCCTCCTAAGTAGCAACTCCCTACTGAGTCACCTCTAGACAAACTTCTGATGTGAAGGAACGGAACCTGTCAGGGCGCGGCCCAGTAAAGCGTGCGTGCGTTACTGCCACCTTGTGGCCATTGCTTTTTCCTTGATGAGCTCCAAAATCTCTGCAACATGCAGCGCCCTGGGCTTTTCCCTTCTTCTAGGCCCCTTTCAAAACTTCCCTGGCCTAAGTTCCCTGTCTTCCCAAATTTTCTGACCCATGTAATACATTAGTTCCTACTGATACATCAATGGCCAATTCACTTCTTCATCCAATATTGATTGACCACCCTGTGCATTCCAGGTGTTGATCTAGGTACTTGGGATACAACATAGAACAAAACAGATCAAAATCCCTGCGTGTGTGGAGCTGATGATGTTCTAGCAGGATGGAAAAGGCTTAGAGCTTTTCTTCTCTCTCTCTTTCTCTCTTTAAGATTTTATTTATTTATGAGAGAGAGAGAGAGCAGAGGGAGGAGCAGAGGAAGAGGGACAAGCAGACTCCCTGCTGATCGTAGAGCCTGACACAGGGCTCGATCTCAGGACCCTGAGATCATGACCTGAGCAGAAGCCAAGAGTCAGACTCAACCAACTGAGCCACTCAGGAGCCCCTAAAGCTTTTCCTCTCTTAAAGAACACTTTACCAGACTAAGGAGGTCTTAAGAGGGGAGTTTGGGGTATCGTCAGTGAGCTAGTGGGAGTACTGTTGAGGACATGGGTTTGGTTTGTAATTATGAGAGTCAGTTTAACAAATATGCCTGAGTTTATACACCGCATGAGCACTGCACTTTGAAGCAGACCTTTATCTTAAACTTGAACCTGCATTGAATCACCTGGAGACCTGCTTAAGATGAAGATCCTAAGTTAGGAAGTCTGGCACAAGGCCTGGGACTCTGCCTTCTAACTCCCAAATGCTGCCACTGCCACTGCTGCTCTGGGTACCGCACTTTGAGCAGCAAGGCTTTAAAGCAGATTCCCTTGAGCACTGACTCTTCCAAAACAAATACCAGTACGACTACTACCACAGTAATATTGCAAAGCTCGAATAAGTAAGCCCTGTGCACTAGCTATTACCTGCATTTAGAGATGACTAAACGGAGCCTGCAAGATATTAACTCATTGTCCATGAGTGCACTTTGCAAGCAGGAGAGCCAGAACATTCTAGAGCTCCTGTGCATGACTGTCTGCTCCTTCACCTGTTACTTACCTACACCCGGCTGCGTGATCTAATCACATGAAGGGTCGGAGCCTCAGGTTTCTTTTTTGTCAGAGGAGGCAGGATGGCTGAAGAGCCAGCCCCACAAGCGTTGTTGCTGTTATTACCATTAAGCCTTGAAGGGTTTTTGGCCCTGAACTTCCCCCTTTACCAGGACTAAAAATCTATCAGCCACATGCACCCTTCCCTGACACAGTGCCCATACCGGCTCATTTTCTCCCCAGGCAGTCCCCGGGGAGCAAGTGTGACAACTTCCATCTTCCATACGAGGAAGAGAAAGCTGACCCAAGGGTGGCCTCCTCTGGAGCCGAGATCTAGAGATCTTAAAGATTTTCTCCAATCGGTTATCTTTTAACCTGTTGAACTTAGTTTTTAGCGATGAAATCTCCTCTTCCAGCAAAGCAGTGCATGAAGTCTAGTTTGTGAAGTGGAGAGGAGCAAAAGGCCCAGCCGGAGCCGGGTTCGAGATGTGCAGCCCAGCCTTGCGGCCTAGCTCTGTTAGGTTCTGTTTCCCGGGCCTTGGAGACAAGTGCCAAGAGCGCTATTTGCAAACCCCGTCTCAGTCAGCTCCCGCTGGGAACAAGTGACCAGCAGGCCCCAAGGAGGGAGGCCATCCAGTTGGGCCCAACTCGAGGGCTCCAGAGACCAAGGGCAGAAGTCAGCAGAAGCCAGGCAGAAGTTCTGAGTGGTAGCCAAGCTGTGTCTGAGGATGGTCTTGCACTCCCATCTCACGGGGCCAAATTCAATATTCCAACTGGTGATCTCATTATTTCCCAGTGCCCCCTTTGCTCACACCCCAGGGGGCAAGGCTTTTCATTTTTTTAGACTTCGAAATTGTGAAATATAACATACACCCAGCAAACCGCCTAACCACATCCATGCCAAGAATTATGGTGTGTCCTGGATCCTAAAAGCCTCCGGGGGCTCCCGCCTGACCCTCTGTCTCCCAGGAGTCACCCAGCAGCCCCACTTTCAGACACAGCCCATCCCTGCTTCTCCGTGTGTTTGCACCACCTGTCTACACATCCCTCCCCACAACGGCTCGGTTTTACCTGTTTTAGCTTTATGTGCATGGACTCATGCTCTGTGCGGCCTTCTGTCAGTCTTGCTCCCCACATCATGTGGGTAAGATGCATCTGTTTTGTGGAGACCAGCCGACTGCAGTCCATCCACTCTCTTTGCTATCAACCATTGTGTTGTATGCACACACCTGATGTCTGTATTCATTCCTCTGTGATGGGTGTTTGGATTGTTTGCTATTGGCGGCTAGTGTGGACAGTGGTGCTACCCACCTTCCTGGCAGGAAGATTCACTCTCGTGGACCAGAGACAGTGAGGCCCAAGGAGGAAAGGACTCTCAGAAGATCAGAAGAGAGGCAGCCAGGCCCAGTCCCCGGGGTGAGAAAGGCCCGTTGGCCTCCCCATTTCCCAAGCTCTCTATGCGCCAAGCCTGGCGAGGCCAGAGACACAACCAGCAAAGTAGATGAGTTTTCAAGATTTTATTGTAAAACAGCTTCAGTCACAGGAAGTAGGAAACTTTCCACTCAACACACAGAACACACGTTCATGGAGCACGTGCTGAGGGTCCGAAACACACACGGGTCATCACGCTCCCTGCTCTCAGGAGCTCATAGTCTGCGGCGGGACACAGACGGAGGCACAACCGTCTTCCAAGCAAGTCTCAGAGTGTCTGAAGGGCTAAAATGGTCCAAGAGCCATTCCTCCCTCCCAGGAGACCTGGAAGGAGCCCCAGGGGAGCCGCAGTTGTGCTGCCCTGGGAGCTGGGAGCTTTTGATGGGCGGGCTGGGGGAGGAAAAGCGCGGCGGGCGGCTGTACGAGGTCTGGGGTGGAAATGGTGCCCGGCCTGAGCAGTGGGGGCCAGACTTTAGGAACGTCACAGAAAGAAAAAAAAACTAGGGACCAACATAACACACTAACTTCGCAGTTTTGCAGGGTAGGGCGTTACAAAAAGAAGACAGGGAAATCAAAAGGGAGAGCTCCTTCCACCCTCCCCTGCCCCCTTTCCAGAAAGGACACAGTCTCTAAAGAAAGGACTCGCCTTCAAATTGGATGAAGCTGGCTTAAAAGAAAAAGGAAATCCTTCTCTTCCTCCGTGGCATAGGCTCTAAAAGTTTTCCCCACAGAACAGCATCAGTTGGCAAAACAAGGTTTGGGAGGCCAGCAAGGGGCATGAGGGATCCGGGACATGGCCACAGTGCGAGGGAGGAGGCTGAGGAGTCAGGGAGAGGAGAGCAGAGGGGGCCCAGGCTGGCCGAGCGGCCTAGCTTTCCACCAGAAGGCCTGGGGCAGTGCGGTGGCTTGAGCTGCACCATAGAAAGACCACCGTGGAGGCAGCATCGAGGTTGCTTAGCTGAGGAGGCTGGTGACAGAGTCCTGTTACCGGGGCTCTCGTCCATCCTTCCGAGGGTCCACCCCACCAGGGCTGCTCCTCTGAGCCCCCACGACAGCCCAGGAGGCCCCGGGCAGGGTGGAGAGGCGTCTCCGGGGTCACCGGTGTGCTGGGCGTGGGGGACGTGCGGCATGGACCCACCACTAGTCCTTCTGGAAGTAGAACTTGGTGACCATCATGGCCTCTTCAGGCGTGTTGGTGAGGCTGACGGGCCGGTCGGCCTCGAGTGCTGTGCAGAGGAACCAGCCGGGGCAGGCGGCAGACTCGAAGCTGGTGGTGGGCCCGCTGTCCGAGAGGATGAAGGTGAAGCGCTTGTCTTGATCCTTGCTCTTACTCAGGTCAGTGATGTTAACTGCCTGGAAGCCAAGACATGAACAGTGAGGGCTGGGAAGCCCATAGGTCCCGTGCTGCCTCCCTCTCCCAACCAGGACTTGGCCTCCGGCCGGCCCAGAACAAGCACTGGGGAAACTCTGACCGGGGACCCCAGCAGGCCACACGTCCTGGCTCTCCTAGGACAACAGTGACACAAAGAGGCCATCCCACGGTCACACCTTGACTTTGGGAAACCTGGCCCCTCTAGCCATGGGCCAATAGGTTTGGTAAACACATGGCATCAGCCGCAGAGGTCAACGCTCATGGAGGCTGGTACTCTGTCGGGGCCTGTGCCTCTCTCTGGCAAGGAGGCGCGGCGGAGAATGGGGGGCAGAGATCACTGCAGTGCGTTCGACACGGTACACACGACGTCCTGGCCGTCCCCACTCCACACAGAGTAGTCACCCTCCCAAAGAATGCCCCTGTCCACGGTGGGGGGTAAGGGACGGAGCCCCGGTCACAGCCACTCACACTGGGTTAAGATCCTGACCAACGAGCCCCTGAGACAAAGCCATCTCCTCCCAGGGCTGGCAGCCCGTTCACACTGCGGGGATCAAGGAGTACAGGGCCCTGGATAGGATGCTAACTCGTGGGTTTGAGCAGATAAGGATTAGAAAAGTCCTAAAGCTTGACCTCCCTGGAGGAGGGCGAGTCCAAGAAGGTCGGGAGCCGACGGGCCAGAGAGTGGCACACAGAATGGAGCCCTCAAAGGACCCATCCTTCCCGGCCCTGCCCTTCTCGAGACTGGACTTGGCCACACAGCTGGCTTCGGCACATGGGACGTGAGCCGTACGACATAAGTGGGGGTTTGACATGCCTTTGCCCACGGAGGCTTGCCTTTGTGGCATAATCTGTCTCGGAAGGCAGCACCCACGCTGTCAGGAGTCCCACGCTGACCGCGGAGCTCTGAGGGAGCACGTGGAGCGGGCGGGGTGGTGGCGAGAAGTCACTGTGCCCCCCGCCCCCAGCAGAGCTCCCCACTGCTGCCGCTGCCGGAGGAACGGGAGCTACGCCGAGAGGAACACAACTGCCCAGCCGTGCCTGCCTCAGCGACCCACAGGGCCCCGGGAAGGAGCCGACTGTGGTTGTCCCAGCCGCCAGCTTTGGGCTGGCTGTCGTCGGAGGCGGGTCCTTACCTCCAGCTGGAGCTTGGTCTCATCACCAGACTTGACGCAGGCCAGGCACAGCTTCCCCCCATGGATCCCCAGGAACACAGCACGAGGCTCAATGGGCACCACGTCTAACTTCTCTGGGGAAGAGCAGAAGGCAGGGTCAGGTTGTAGAGAGAGGGGGAGGCAGCCCGGACTCTTGCAGGAGATTTTTCTGTCTCCCCATCCCATCCCCACCCGAAGTAAAACCCGAAGGTCAGAAGGGCAGTGAGGCCCCATCTTCCTGGTCTGCATTCAAATGGAAGATCACACCAAGGAGTTACCGAGTTACCCCTCAAGGACCATGTCACCTAGATTCTGCTCTGCGTGGTCCCTATCCTTCCTTCTCCCCAGGACACCTGTGCTCCAGGTCCCCAGGGGTGCTGCCCATGGGCAGGGAAATAGCACACAGTGGGCCCCGGGGCTTGGTCTACAGGCACCTGGGTGACTCTGACCCTGTCCCTTGGTCATCTCTGAGCCCTCATGTGGCAGTGAAAAGCTCAGCCTTTCTGCACTTCGGCTTGTTCGTTAGGAGAATTAATAGAAGGACAGGAAAGGCCGGTCTCACACTCTTTCAGGACAAGGCAGGGGGCTGAGAACAAGGTGGGAAGATGGAGATCATGCCATCCCATGGTACCAATCAGGCAACAGGGGTGTGGAAACATCCCAGGAAGCTCATGCTGAAAGACTCTCCCAGAGTGCCATGAGGCAGGCCTCGGTTCACTGAAGGAAAAACTGAGCGATGGAGTGGGGGAAGCCTGCCCAAGGTCATGCAGCTTGTTCAGAGCAAGGAGCAGACCATGGCTGAATGTGGTGTCCATGAATAAGGGGCATAACCCAGCCTCAGATATGGTGTATTCGTTTTGGGTGGTAGTTAGGGTTTGAACAGCACAGGAACACGGAAGGCTTCATAGTCACAGGAGGGAAAGGGAGCATCTTGCCTTCTGTGCCCTCTCCCTGCCAGTGCTGGCCCTGGGACACGGTGCCAGCAGGTGGGGGCTCCAGACCTAGGCTCTTACCCTCTTACCCTCTGAGGCTGCCTTCACGTATGGCCAGGCCTCCCCCAGCTCCCAACTCAACCACAAAGACCCAGTGGGGATTAGGACTTTGAACCTAAGCTTTCCAAGGGCAAGCTGGAGACTCCAGGGCAAAGTGACCCAGTACCCACACAGCATCCGCTTTCCTGGCAACCACTCACCTTCCAATTTAGTATTTGATCCTTGCAGGTAACCAGCGACGAGCTGGTTATTCCTCAGGTAGAAGGTCTTCTGGTTAATATCCCAGATTCTGAAATGTGAAAGGCCCCAGCTATGGTGAACAACCTCCGTGTGCCCAGCCCTGTGCTCCCCCGTTCCTGTGTCCCCCAGAGTTCACTGAATCTGCATTCAACTTTTTGCCAGGGCTGTGGTGTTTTAGCCCAGCCTTGGCATGGAGGAGAGACTGAGGTCGAGGCCGGCCCAGCTCCCACAGCTGGAAAGCAGTGCACCCACATTCTACCCCTCTCCTCACCTTGCTCCTCATCCTCAGATTCCCAGAGCAGACACCTTCTACTTCAGCAAAACATCACAGAATAGCCTCATCCAATAAAACTTGCTGGGGGCAGGAGTGTTCTCTCTCTGCACCGTCCGGTACGGTAGCCACCAGCCACATGTGGTGAAGGGCTGAGAGCTGGGCTTGCAGAGCCCCAGCCAGAACGTGGGCCCTCTGTGCCCCGCTGCCCACCCATGTGACCTTGGATCTGCGCCTCATCTCTTCACAAGTGAAGTGTGGCTACCAAGGCCCATGGCATCAGGTGACTTTGGGGAGCTCGTGAGCTCAGTGAGGGATGGTTGGACAAACTGTAAAGGTCTTTGCACACGTTGAGCATTTGACCTTTCGAGATTCTTCTGCATTTCTGGATAAGTCTCCTACTCGAGACCTCCACGTGCATCTCCTGGAGCCCCCAGCCAGTAGGAAGAAGCAGAGGCAAAGCTCGTGAAGCAGTTCCCGTGTCTGGAAAGGGGAATGACTTGCCCAGGATGCACGCACACGCATACACACACACGCACAGAATCCTGAACTGCAGCCTCAAGCCAGGGAAACTCAGTTTGACGGTGAAGTCACCCTGACGTGGCTCAGGCCTGCGATGTCCCAGGACAGAGGGCCCATGGGGACAGCATCATAGCCTCTCGATTTTACAACAGGGTTGGTGACATCTCTCTCACAAAACTCCTGGCCCAATTTTTAAAATATCACAGTAGTGTTCAAGCTCTGTTTGATTTTCACAACAACCCTGTAAGGCAAGCAGGGGGTTATCCTTAACCCCATGTCACAGATGGGGAAACTGAGGCCGCAAAGGAATGGGGTCCTCCACCATGTCCACACGGACCTGCAATGCTGACCAGCAGTCTGGGCCTCTGGGCTGTGCGCTGTCCACGCGGCCCAGCAAAGAGCCCCGGCCTGGCTCCACGGCACCTGTCTGTCACTCACTGAGTTGCCAGAGTCTCCGGGAGAATAAGCCAGGCCTTTAGCCAAGTTCTGCCCATCTGAGATATTCTGAAACACAAGCCCTGAAGACCACGGATGTGGCTCCCCTTTTCTGAATAATGGACCTCCCTTTCCAGCCCAAACTCAGTCTGCAGGCGCTGCGGAGGCCAGTGGGCCCCCCCAACAGCCGCGGTGGTTCCATTTACCTATCTATCCACCCCACCTCCTCAGGGGTGGCCTTACCTGAAGGCTTGCATCCTGCAAGGTCTCTTCCCCAAGGGATGGCAGGCTGTCTCTGAATGGAACAGGAAAAGGAGGAAAGAGATCAGGTAACTGAGGGGACACCTGCAGGTTTCCATTCTGTGGCCGCAGCCAGGCAACACGACACTGCCATTTCGGGCCCCGAGTTGCTGCTTATAAAGAAAATAGTCACTCACCCAAGCCGCCCTGTCCTACTCTGAGAAACGGAAATGCCCTCACATTTCCAAAATGAGAAACCCTTGCTGTTGTCACTTTCAACTGTGCTGAGTGTCGCAATGGGGTGTTGTAACTGATTCCCTCCCCTTTTCCCCTGTGCAATTTCCCCAAAATTAAGATTTCTATTTCCCCTTCACTGAGTTCCTGGGAAGAGCACAATGAAAACTAAACTCCCTAATCGGCCTGACAGGTATTCTGAGACTGTTTGTTGGCCTTTTTAAAAATAGATTTAAGAAGAGAAGTCCTCCTTCCTAACAAGCCAAGTGGCAGGGCTCTTCAGCACACGGGACAGTTGCGTGTCACTTTGTATTCTTTGAAGGATGGACAGCCACGCTGGACTCTGGACCAGGGACTAACAAACATTCTGTAAAGGACCAGATAGTAAATATTTTAGGGTTTGTCTCTGTCATGATTTCTCAACTCAGCTATTGTAGCTTAAACAGTAGTAGGTGATCTGTAAATGACAAGCCCGTTATGTTCCAATACAACTTTATTTACAAAAAGAGGTGGTGGTTGCATTTGGCTTGAAGTTTGCTGACCCCTGCCATAGAGTAAATTTCCTGAGAGGTTCTTTAAAGCCAGCTCTCTTCCACTAAGACACTATCCACGTCTTTAAAGTTATGGTCTTGGGATAATGGGGCCAACTCAGCCCTTGGACAGAAACGGATCCAGATTTCACGTCTGCCACTTGCCATTTGCTACCCATGTGACCTGGAACATGTCGCTTCACTTCTCTGGGCCTCTACCCCTGCCCTCTCTGCCTCAGTGCCCAGAGTGGGATTGATCATGTCTTCCTCATGGATGGAAAGAGGGAGGGAGAGAGGGAGGGAGGGAGGAAGGAAGGAAGGAAGGAAGGAAGGAAGGGAAGGAAGGAAGGAAGGAAGGGAAGGAAGGGAGGGAGGGAAGGAAGGAAGGGGAAATTCTAGCCTGCAGTGAGCACTCATAAGCATTAACTTCTTTCCTTCCTACATTCTAGAAGTTAGGAAAAAGGTAGGCATACTCCTCTTTATGGATAGGGCTTCACATGATCAGAGTGCCCAGTACTAATGCAGAAGCACAGATTATACCATTGGAGAACTGGATGGGAGCTCGGCAGTCGTCCTATCCCACCCTATCATTATCTTGAAGAACACTCAGAAAGACCCAGGGAGGGAAAGAGACCTGCCCAAGGCCACACCGCTCATTAATGGCAAAGGTATGCCTAGGAATCCAGGTCTTCAGACTCCCGTCCAGTGGTCATCCTGTTACAACAGCTAATCTTGATGAGTCTGACTTTATTTTTAACCAAAAAATCAGGGTCCATGTCCAAATGAGGATAAAATCCTTCAAAGAGGAAGTCTACACTGTATAGTTGAAAGTTGCTAAGACAGTAGACCATAAAAGTTGTCATTACAAGAAAAAAGATACATTTATAACTATGTATATAAAACAGGTAATGGGTGAATCACTATGTTGTATACCTCTAATGTTATAATGTCAATTACACCTCAATTAAATATAATTTAATGTTATATGTCAATGATACCTCAATTTATTTATTTATTTTAAATTTTTTATTTTTATGTTAATCACCATACATTACATCATTAGTTTTTGATGTAGTGTTCCATGATTCATTGTTTGTGCATAACACCCATCCACGCAGTATGTGCCCTCCCCAATACCCATCACCAGGTTAACCCATCCCCCCACCCCCCTCCCCTCTAGAACCCTCAGTTTGTTTTTCAGAGTCCATCATCTCTCATGGTTCATCTCCCACTCCGATTTCCCCCCCTTCATTCTTCCCCTCCTGCTATCTTCTTCTTCTTCTTTGTTTTTTTTTCTTAACATATATTGCATTATTTGTTTCAGAGGTACAGATCTGTGATTCAACAGTCTTGCACAATTCACAGCGCTCACCATAGCACATACCCTCCCCACTGTCTATCACCCAGCCACCCCATCCCTCCCACCCCCAACCACTCCAGCAACCCTCAGTTTGTTTCCTGAGATTAAGAATTCTTCATATCAGTGAGGTCATATGACACATGTCTTTCTCTGATTGACTTATTTCGCTCAGCATAACACCCTCCAGTTCCATCCACGTCATTGCAAATGGCAAGATCTCATTCCTTTTGATGGCTGCATAATATTCCATTGTATATATATACCACATCTTCTTTATCCATTCAATGATACATCAATTTAAACAAATTTAATATAATGTTATATGTCAATTATACCGCAATTAAAAAAAATTTTTATAAAGGTTACAAATGAATATCTCAAATCTTTAAAGAGCTCTTCTTTCAGAACAAATGGAACATTTCTGCAAAAATTGTATCACTTCCCTGGGTGGTTACTTTGAGGGACAAAGTGACTTGTATGTATCCCCCTCTGTTCTCACAAGGTGAGTGACCTTGAGGGAGACATTCACCTTTGAAACACATGCAAGAAAGAATATATCTACCTTTGAAGGCCAAGGGGGAGTTCTGTTTGTTTGGGGGAGGGCTGGTTGGAGGACATGATGTATAAGAACCTGCTTGATTATTTACCACCGGCAGCATTTGCTGAATTGGGGGTATAATTTCTGGAACATCTACGAGTCATCAGGGGCTTAAACTGGTCACCACCCGTGTTGCGATGGAAGGCAGCTAGCCCCCACTGTGATAAGTTCTCTCCTACTTGTCTTTCAGTGCCTCTTGTGAAGCCCTCCTCAATGTTACTTCAGTACCCCTTGAAAAACATCCTTGGAGACTGAAGAGGAGGAATGACTTGCTCAGGGGAGGCCGAGGGGCTCCTTCCTGCCTGCCTGCCCTCAAGACAGCATTCCAAGTCAAGGTACCACCCACACTGTGGCTCCTGGGTAAATGCTCCCCTGTCCCCAGCCCAAAATTCAGAGAGACAGATTTCTCCGGGAGGGCAGATCCCTGGGTTCTCCACCTTTGCCAGGTCTGTGCCCAAGAAGTGGCTTGGCAGGCCTTTCCTGATAGAGAGGAGGGAGTCCCTAGGGCTGGCCTGAGACATCAGGCTGACCTAGCACTGCACTCTCCCATGTCACCTAGGAGCTGGCCACCCAGGCCCTTGGTCTCAGTTTCATTATCCATTATACGGGGCTAATAATTGAAGCCTTATCACGGGTTCTGTGAGGACTGAGATGTTGCACACAGTGTACGTAACCCTGACCCTGGCACGTAGGAAATACACAATAGAAAGCTATTGCATCTGCTTCTTCACCCCACGTAAAGTGAGGGAGGTCAGTCACAATGCCCCTAACCCCATCCACCCTGCCCGGCACACCGGGCTGGACTCCAGAGGGGGAGGCCCTCATCCGTCTGGGCTGGGGGAGGAAATGAGCCGGGGTCCAGAGGCTCCTCCCCTCCCCTCCCCTCACGCTTCTGGCCACAATTCCATTCTTGGTTCCGTCTTATCAAAAATAGTTGGTGTCCCTATGATTTCTGCCCACAGGAAATCTCTGACGAAACTTATTCTTGGTTCCGGGTGCTCGGCCCCTCACTCCAGTTCCCAAATTCAGTTTAATGACCACACCACGTCGTGGACCCTGCCTTCCCGGTCAGCACCTTGCGCTTTCCCTGCGAGCTGCCGGCATCAAACTGCATCTAGTGCCTTCTACATGCTGAGCCCTGCCCTGCCCTGGTGACAGCAGAAATGATAAGGCCCAGTCAGAGGGAAATAGGACAACCATGTCCTTGCAGTGATATTCGACAGGCTCTACTGAGACCAAGCCCTGGGCCCCTGTTGGTGCCTCTAGAGCACCATCCACATAGGAGGTGTTCAATAAATGTTAGCTATTTCTCAATTTCAACTAATTGCTTCTTTCGATTCTAAGATTTCCATCTGCTTCCCTTTTTTTGGCATGGTGTCTGCCAAAAGTTTCAGTCGTGTCTTTTAAATCCTTGAACACGGTATTCATGGTTCTTGTAAAGGCTGCACCTGCTCACTTTATTATCTGAATCCCCTCTGGGTGTCCTTCTGGAGTCTGCTTTTGTCTGGTGCACAGGTTGACTTGACTGTGCCTGGCTACTTTCTATCAACTGCTGGGCATGGTAGTACATCGAAAATTGTAGAGGTCATTTGAGGCTCTGGACAATATTGTATTTATCTAGAGGTGATTCCCTTTTGCTTCTGCTGGGCGGGGAGGCTGGGGGCGCTGCAGCTGCAGGTGACCTTCCCCCCAGCAGGCTTGAGATGATCACAACGGGGCATCAGTAGCTAGGCAGGCTACTCCATTTCTCTGTAGTCCTAGTCCTTTAGGTCCCAGCCCAGACCTGGGGTGTTTATCAGGGCCTGTTCTCCTCAGTGGGAGATAAAATACAAATTTTATCCTCTCCCATCCCCTGTCCAACCCCATAAGTTTGTCCAAAACTCAGCTGGGGCTTTTGAAACCAGCAAATGCTTCCTGGGGCAAAAGGCCCCAATGCTGACCTCCACCTGTCGGGGCCTCTGCAGTTCTTCAAAGCCCTGGTCATTCTTTGATCCCATGTGATTGTTTAGAAATACATTTTGCTAGCTTTGCTGGTTATCACAGCAGGAAGTTTGGTCCTAGGCCAGATGTGGAACACGATGTCTATTTTTGAGTCATATCATTCAGGATGGCAGAGTTGGAACAGCATTTGGGGGTAGGGGCAGAAGTGACTGAAAAGTTGGGCAGGAGTCAGAGGAGGAAGGGCCTCTAATGACACAACAAGGGGCAGGGAATTTATTTTAAAGAACATGGTATCAGAGGGTGACACCGTCAGGTTTGTTTTATTAAGATCATCCTGGGGCCAGTGGACAGATAGATGAGACTTGGTGTGTGGTTTGGGGTCACCAAGCCTGAAGGCAGGGCCGTGGTGTGCTGCTAAATGTTGACAGCTAGATCTCCAAAAGAGTTCTCATTAGTAGCATTTGCTGGTTTCTCTGGTGTAAATACTCCC